CCCCGGGGGTCTCGGCTCCTCCTGCTGCGGCTCGGCTCGGTAGCTGCAAAAAACAACTCTCGGCTGGAGACAATCAGCTGAGAAACCCGAGCATTTGAGGCGCTCGCTCCGCACTGTGGGCTCGCGCCGATTGGCCCAGGCGGGCACGCCCCCCGGGCGCCGCGCTCGGAAGGCCACGGGCCGCAGGACCCGTCGCTCGAGGGCCCCGACATCTGATTGGGCGCCCGCTTTCCCCGCTCTCTCCCTCCCCTTCAGTCCCCACCCACGCTGCTGATTGGCTCAGCAACTGGACTGCCCGTTCGCGCCGGCGGGAGGACTCGGTTGTCATCTGTCACCGGGGCGGCTCTCGCTCCGCCCCCTGCGCTTTCCATTGGTTGGAGCGTCGATTACGTACAGAGCACGAGGAGAAGGAGGAGCTTTGGGGGTTGTTTTTTGCCCGGGCGGCAGAGTCCTTCGAGCTGCTGGCGGCCGCGGGCTGGGTGGGTCGGGTCGCTTCGCTCTCGCAGGTGGGCAAAGCGGTCGCCGGCTTCCTGGAGAGCCGGGCACGGCCCTGCCTTCTGCCTCCTCTTCCGTCGCGTGGCTGCGGGAACTGTCTGCCGCGCGGCCTCGGGGACGGCCCGGGTCTCTGCCCGCAGGTCTTGCACGCAGATCTCGGGCAGGTAGGTGGCAGCGCCGGTCCTTCAAGCTTGGAGCTGTGGTTTCTGCCTGCAGGCATGGGGTTTCAGACCAGGCTGCTTTCCTTTAGCAGGGCCTAACCGCCTGATTCTGTAGTCTGACTGCACAGCCGCCTCAGGGACACTGAAAGGGGCCTCCCCCGAACCCTTCTGAGGGTCATTTTGCTTTTTTCTTTTTATTTCGCCGCGTGAGCGGCGGGAAACACGTGAATCCTTTCTGGAGTGAGGGGATGGAATGAGGCTACGGGTGAATCTAAGCTCAGAGCCCTCCCCTCCCTCGAGAAGTGCCCCTTAAGGAAGAGTGGTATTAGGATCAGATGAATGTTGAAGCCATCTGTGAGTAGCGGGGAGGTGGTTCTTTGAAACTTAGAATTTATAAAGATGCTGTGGACATAAGTTTGAGGAAAAAGGCAAAAAACAGAACTGTAAGTCTTTGATTGTCTAGAGAAGAAGAAGTAGAATGGTCTGTGCTCCTTAAATTCCATACGTATTGAAGTCTTAGTCCTGTATATGGTAGGCGGTGGCGCTATTCCTGGGGCTGAGAGATAAAAAAATAAATGTTACTGCTGTCAATAAGCGAGGAATAAATAGATCTCCCAGCATATATTAGGCCGGCACATAACATTTGTTGACTTCTTTTTATTTGATAATAAAATGAGCAAAGAAAGGAGTGCAAGATTAGGAAGAAATGATTTGTGTTCTCCCTAGACTGAACAGCACATCACAAATTCAGTATCCTTGTGAAAGATACTGCTACGTTTACTGGAGCAACCAAGACCCAGCCTTTCCTAACTCACCAGCCTTTGTCCTGTGCTTGCCCAAGAAGAGTGTTGCTCTCTTTTTTCCTAGCTAAGTGTTCCACAGGGAAATTTCAATTCTATTTTGTACTCCAGATTCTGGGACAGTAGTTCACACAGCCACCAGATGCTGATGTGGTTTGGGTTCTTTATAGGTATTCTGACAAACTAATAGATGAATCGGAATGTCCACTGTTATGTGGACATCCCTCAGATAAACATTTAACTGAGCACGTTTTAAGAAGTGCAGTGTACATGAGGGTACAACTTGCTATAAGAAGTTAACAGGCCTAATCTAACAACAGTGCCTTGGAGAAGGATCTAATGTTTATTGGATTTTAAGAACTTCACCACATGGATTCTTAGAGAATGTGGTTCAGGACAGTACATGATAGCAGGCAGGTAGTTGATTGCAGTCATGTGCTTAAGTACTTAAACATAAAATCAGAATTTTGTGATTTTAGGCACTTGTCAAAATCAAGGGCACTACCTGTTCTCTGGCATGGCCTATGATCATCCATAATCAAGGAGATACAAGTTTGAGGTCATGAATAGACTTTTACAAAGGGGTTTTTCTTTTTCTCCTGTATTCTCTATTCGAAGTGATAGTAAACAACATCTGGAGAGTACCCATGCTAATTTTAGGTCTTTGATTATGAGACTTTTTTCCCCCTATGTGTCAGAGCAAGTCTGGATAGCTGCCCCCTTTCTCCCTCTCTTTTTTTGGGAATATGGGGGCTGCAGGTAGAGGATTTTCTTCCCAACTGCTTTGAAGGGGCTCTAATGTGGACAGAGGTTGACTCTTTTCATTGCCTCCTTTGTGTCTTAAATGATAAACTGTGTTGAGATTTAATCAACATTTATTCGAGGCCGGTTCAGTGAACAGGTTCTGTTCTCCAGTAGAAGCATTAAACTGTAAGTAAGCTAATTTTTGGCAGAATGTTCTTACAGGAACTTTGTAAGCATTATGTGCCCCATTTGTTGCAAAATATGAACTGTGTCTTTTTCCAGGGAATGGTACCCACAGATCTTGATATAATTTATTTAATAGTTACAGTTGTTAATTCCCTCTTTTTCCTGAAAGAGAAATCCATTAATTTTATGGTTAATCATAAGGAAATTTTAGGCCTACAAAGGGGAAACTAACCAAGGGTCTCCTAAAAAAGCTTACTGTCAGATATTCTAAAATTTAACGTATCCAAATGCACAATGGTCGAATATCATCCTTAGAGGGCAGTTTGCTCTAGCACAGTAGTCTTTCAAACATTTAAAGCAGAAGAACTGTTTGGGGAGTATTATTGTATGAGTATACAGTATGCATTCCCAAAATAGGATTGAGCTAGCTAAAGAGGGCCACCAGCTGTTCCACCTGCCAAAGGACCACTTAACGCAAATCCTTACCCTATCTCCTTACTAACAGGAAGACCGATGTTTTTCTCTTGAAGTACTTCCTCCTAGATGCTTTTGGAGGTTATCTTAATATTTGGGTGCTGAACAAAACACACTTTTGTTGCCTTTAGCATTTCATTTATAAGCTTTAGCTTTTTTTAACTAAAGCCTCGCTGAAACATTCATACAGTGCTTGTTACCCTCTTGTATTACATGCCACTCGTTCTTTCAATCATTTTTTTTTTTCTGACCGGTAAGGGGATCGCAACCCTCAGCACGGTGTGGTCTGCACCACGCTCAGTGAGCGCACCGGCCATCCCTATATAAGATCTGAACCCGCAGCCTTGGTGCTTCCAGTGCCGCACTCTCCCGAGTGAGCCATGGGGCTGGCCCTCTTTCAATCATTTAAATGACCTGTGCATGCATACTTGTTTAGAATTTAGGGATGAGAAAAAGTTACTTCTTATATTAATTGGGTCAATTTCCTGTGAATTCTTTGAAATATCCTGCTTTAAAATCTAGGTTGTGTATTTTATGTTCAAGTCACTCTCTTCTTACCTGCTACTAAGACTAGATATACCAATAGGGCTAGGCTGTACAAATAGGGCTAGGCTGGGTTATACTGTGATAACAACCCCTGTTAATAACAACCCCTGTTATTACAAACCTGTAGAAGTTTAAAACAACAAAGTTTATTTTATGTTCGTACTGAATAATCTGGGAGCTTAGCCCTATATTCTCTTTCTGGGCTTGGGCTGACAGAGAAGTCATTATTTCGCGTGTTGTCAGTCCTCATATTGGAGAGAAAGTATATCATGATTCATGACACATGTATACTGACTCTTAAAAGCTTTTGGAAGTTACATATATCACTTTGTACATTTCATTGGTCAAATCAAGTCATTGCCATACCTAACTCAAGGAAATTGGGAAGTATAATTTTAACATGTGTAGAGAACTGGAAACATTTGGACATTTAACCCTTGTCAACAAATACACTCCTTCCTTCATGCAGTTCATCATTCACTCTTCCCAGTGGAGATAATCCAAAAATCCCATCCAGTCACTGTGTCAAGCTTGAAGTTCCAGATGTCAGTAATATCCAGTAGTGGTAATATCTTTGCTGGTCTCTAGACACCTTATCTGTCTCCTACTGCGTGTGGAATGCATAGATAACTATAAGTGTTCCCATTTGGAGAGGAGAAGAATGCAAGACACCATAACTCTAGACTGTGGCAATCCATACTTGAAATCTCTCTGGGTGGATGTTGCTAGGGCTCTAATTTTGTTCTCTAGGTTCTCCAGTCCAGTTAAGAAAAAAAAAATCAGATGTAATTTAAATATTTGTTAAACACGATAAAAATAAGTTATAGGAAAAGTGAAATAAAAAACATAAAATCACAAGCCCAATTTAAAGATTATTAGATTCAACAGACATAAAATTACAATGTGAGATTGCTGTAATAGCTTCTAAACATTTATACTCACTTTCTGTATTTATCTGATCGTAGACCAGCAACAAATTGTTCTCATTGTGCACATATGCCCTGGAGCATAGTTCTCCATGGTCTTTGGTTTTGCTGGGTGAGAGTTCCATTTTTATTATCCGCAGCCACATTTGAAGTTGACTTTGGAGAATATGACCTCTTTCTGTGACTGAGCAGTTTTGTCAGCTTGCTTACTGACCATAGAAGGGTGGGGGCCTAATGATTGTTTTAAGTTTTGAACAGCTAGTCTCTTGAATGGTGGTTCTTTTTTGTGTATCTTTGTTTTAACACCATGTTAAACACAACCAACAGCAGTCCTCACACAGTACTAATCTTCTGTCTTCCAGCCTCTTCTCCCAGGCCTATAAGTAAGTTCATTAGCCACACGAACCTAGGCACACATTCATTATAAATTCATTAGATACATGTCACCTCCAAATTCTTGTAGCAACAGTTTTATCAAATGTTTTGTCACTCCTTAATGGAGATCACTTGCTGAGTTCGTCTCTGGTGTGTTTCGTTGAGTAGGCCAGGACAGTTTCTGTGTTGCTTGGCCCCTGAGCCAGTATTTTGGGGTTTTTGTTAAGGCAGCATCCCACTTTTAGTTTGTATGCCAGTGAAGATAGAATACCTTATGCTGCAATAGTAACCCCTTGTATTAGTCGTTTCTGCTGCTTATAACAAAATACCTGGAACTGGGTTATTTATAAGAAAATGAAATTTATTGCTTACGGTTTCAGAGGCTGGGAAGTCCAAAGTCCAGGGAACACATCTGGTGAGGGTCTTGTTTGGTGGTGGCTTTACATCAATGCAGGGGTCTCACATGTCAGGAAATGGCTTAGCAGAGAGAGAGAGAGTGTTCCTCATGCACTCTCTTTTTAAAGCCTTCAGAACCACGCCCATTATTCAAAAAATGGATCAATCCATTCAGGAGGGTTCAGTCCTTGCAATCCAGTCACCTCTCCAAGGCCCCACCTTTCAATTACCATAATAGCATTTCCAACTCTCAACTGTTACAGTGGGAATTAGGCTTGTAATATAAGAACTTTGGGGTACACAATTCAGTCCACAGCACCCCTCAAATCTCAGTTGCTTAAAACAACAAGGTTTATTTCTTCTTATATCATAGGCTTATTACACATTAACTGGGGGTTCTTTGTTGTGCTTATGCTGACAGAACAGCCACCATTTGAGCATTTCTGGTGATTGTGACAGAAGACAATAAAGCCTGATGTATCACACGTTAGCTGTTAAAACTTGCCCAGAAGAGACATATGCCACTTTTCTTCAGATTTTATTTGCCATGGTAAGTTGCAGAGTAGCCATAACTAACTTTACCAGAGGTTGCGGGGAGAGGGAGCTAAGTGTCATTCTACCTTATACCTGTAAGGAGAACTGGAACTACACTAATGAACTATAACACGAAGATAACAAGGTCACATTTCTCCCAAAGTACTCATCACTGTGTTCTGATATTTAGATTTCTGAAGCATTAAGTACCGTTTTCTATTCCATTTTCTAATTACTAGAGGGAGAAAAAGGTCACCAAGTACCTTCTTTATCTTTGTTTTCATTCTGTTCTCACTGATATTCTCTTTCTCCACCCACATTTTCTTCTCTTTAAAGATCTTTTTATGAGGAGAGCATGTCTCTTGGCAAATTCATTTGATTTTCCATGCATGTGACATGTCCACTCTTCTATGACCCCACAAAGTAGATCGGATTAACATGAGTAGGAGCTATGGAAGATTTGATTACATGCAAGTAATAACCTTTCTTTTTAAATCAAAGTGAAAAGGTACACTGTTTAGTCAGATGATTCTATAAGGCTTCAAAAATCCCCTCTATATCACTGCATCCTCCTCCCCCCCCCCCCCCCCATGTCTCTTGGCAAATTCATTTGATTTTCCATGCATGTGACATGTCCACTCTTCTATGACCCCACAAAGTAGATCGGATTAACATGAGTAGGAGCTATGGAAGATTTGATTACATGCAAGTAATAACCTTTCTTTTTAAATCAAAGTGAAAAGGTACACTGTTTAGTCAGATGATTCTATAAGGCTTCAAAAATCCCCTCTATATCACTGCATCCTCCTCCCCCCCCCGCCCCCGCCAATTTCTTTTTCCTTAGAGGCAATTACTTTCAACTGCTCACTGTTCGTTTTGGCATTGACCTTCCTGTTTCCAATAAACTAGGTTTTTGGTATTGTGGAAGATGAAGATTTAGTTCTCTTTCATCCCTTTTCCCACCTCAACTTCATGCTCCCTTACTTTCTGTCTCCCCATCCTCTCAACTGTGGTTGTTATGGTTTTGGTTAAAATATTATTCAGTGTCTATTTCATTATGAAGATGTAAATTCCATTTCTAGCTGACCCATGCTGTATTCTTTGCTTTATGTAATTTTAAAAATAATAAAATCTTATCAAAATGGAACAAACTGCAGAGATTACTACCTAATTCTTATCTCTAAAAGAATAATCACCAATGTCTCTTAAATGGCCCAATGCACAGTACTTTCACCTGTCTAATCTCATTTGTTCAGTGAGATAGAAGAAGTGGGAAAGTATTCAAGCACTGGATGTGTGGTTAGACACATATACATTTTATGAAATACATTCTACACGAAAAGAATAATGTGTTAACTTTTGTGTTCAATTTAGTGTTAAAATAATTGAATCGTAACCTCAAGACCAGGAAAAGTATTTTATACTTGAATCTTTCAATTGTGCTTTTACTTAATGTTTTACAGTTTAATTAGGTTATAGTTATTTCATATAATTATGAATTTTATATAGTTATTCTCTTAGCCTTGGGAATGCATGCATTTTCCTCTAGAATATAAAGAAAATACTGAAAAACCAATTTTAAAACATCCCCATTCACATAAACTGGCCTTAAAATAGGCTAATTTAAAATGGCCATAATGTATAATCAATCTTAATGTCAAAGATACCTCTTAATTATACCATCACAATTACATTTTTGTATCTCTCATAGTTCTCTCTCCTCATTTTACTTTGAGTTTTTGAACTCTTGACTTATTATTAAAAAATTAATGGCAGATTTTTTTCACAGTTTGATACAAGCTAGCTCTCATGAACAGAATTATTAGGAAGTAATCAGTGAGTAAATAGCTCCTTTTTTTTTTTAGGAATACCTGCTTGTTAGGGAGAGGTATTATGTGCTTATTCATAATATTGAATGATCAAAGTAAATATCCATTTTAATATGATTTTTCCTTAAATTTTTCTTTTATCTTTTTATTCCTTACTGAAAACCTCTACTCTTATGTGTATGAGTACATAGAAATAATTTTGGTATTTTTTCCTATCTATTTTGAGATAGTGATCTTGCATTTGAAATATATAGGTCCTATTTGAAGCAAAAAAAAAAAAAAAATTAAGACAAAATTCTCACCTTTAGCTGTTTAGATTTACTTCTAGAAGTATGATATTTATATATTATACTAATTTTCCTAAACTATATTTTCAACTTAGAAAATATAGATCATTAGTAAAATGATCTTCATTAGTAAAATGTTCTTCAAGAAAAATTTGAAAAGTAGCAAAATGGAAGACAGAATTGACAGCAGATACAGAGGACAGTATGAAAGTAAGGACATCAGGGACAAAGGTGAGACGAGGTCATCTAGAACAAATCTGAGTTCAGAAAATAGAATTGAATAAAAATACGAGTTAATTTCCAAACAGTATAAAGAAATCTAAGCCTTATGCATTAAAAAATATGTATATTTAGGAGGAATATTCATCCATAATTTTAACAGGTATATTGTAGGGGGTTTAAACTAAAAAGACAGTAGGCATATTTTGGATGTCTCACTCCCATGTTAATGGTATTAAATAACTATTGAGTATTTATTGTAAATCAACTGGAGGTCAAGAAAGATAAAATGCCCAGTTAAAAAAAAATGGATTAACAATTCCTTGAAGTTGTTATGACAAGCGAACAGATATGAGGTTGTTGGGAGGGAGGGGGGAGAGGGAGAGGGAAGGGAGGCTTCGGTAATGGGCCACAATAACCAACCACATTGTATATTGACAAAATAAAATTAAATAAAATAAATGGATTGGTTAATGTTTGAAAATTAATTTCAGAAACCTTGAAAATGACAATTAGCTCAACATACTCTTGTAACTATCTATGAAACTTAAGATGCTTACTTAAGCATTTTCCATATATCTTTGATATCTTCTGCAGATATCAGAAATCAATATGATTATTAAATCAGTGTCATTATATATCATCCCCTCTCAAATTTTTGCTAGGAGAAAAATAGTAAAGTACTAGCAAAACCAAATAATGTAAGTAATGACTTAACTTTTTCTTTTTGTAGATTTTACTTCATTCACTTAACAAATTCATTCAACAAAACTTTGTGGAATACCTAGGTAATGTCCTAGGCAACAGAACACAGCAGTGAAAAAAAAACAGACAAAATCCGCTCATATACCACTACAGATGATGATGTCTTCCAGCTTCAATGTATTTAGAGTTTGGATCTCTTTTATCATGATGGGCATTTTTTACAAGTCAACAGTAGCCTCTCTACCAGAACTGAGTCCTCAGAAATATTTCAATACATTGCAACCAGGAAAAGCTTCTTTAGCTTATTTTTGTCGAGCTGGTAAGTATTTTTAAATTTCTGATATGATTCTTGTGTTGTTTGTAGTGCTGTTTAATCATATGCTCAGTTGGAACTTACTGTCAGGATTAATAATATGTGTCGTAAAGATGTTACTATAATATTCCTGCCTGGGTTTGGATCCAGATTCTGCCACTTGGCCTGTAGTGTGACCTTGGTGAAGTCATGTAGCTTCTCTATGCATTGCTTTTGTCTTCTATTATGAGAAAATAGTACTTGATTTGTAAGTTTGTTCTGAGGATTAAATGAATTTGCTCATATGCCTAGTCCATAGTATACACTAAATAAGAGTTAGCTACTAATATAACATCTGAATTTCATCTAGTCATTACTGTAACTATACTTTCTCATATTTTTAGCATGTAAATATTTTTTATGTTTTTAAAAACTTTTAATGTAGTATTAGTAATGCTTTAGTGTAATGTTCTGCTTTAGTTATTATTAGTTACACTGAGTTAACTAATATAACTACTGAACATAGATAATAATTGTAATGGTATCATTTAGTCTTCATGCATCAAAAATTCTATTGGAACTAGTAAGTGAAGGGAATCAACATTTCTATTTTGCTCCCTTATTATAGTCGTGATTTGAAAATGGTATTTTAAACTCATTTTGAAAGTTTTGTGTATGTGTGTATTGTGTATATGGTATTAAACTTGGGATAATAATGCCAAATATTAGGTGTAAATTAAACATTTATTTATCATATTCCTGTTTTAGGAAGGTTTTAAGGTAACTTACAAGGTTAAATATATCATGATAAAAACAGAAATAAGAGTAGGACCTGCAACGGGCTTGCAACCCTCGGTGTCACGCCCGCACTGGGGACCTGCAACGGGCTTGCAACCCTCGGTGTCACGCCCGCACTGGGGACCTGCAACGGGCTTGCAACCCTCGGTGTCACGCCCGCACTGGGGACCTGCAACGGGCTTGCAACCCTCGGTGTCACGCCCGCACTGGGGACCTGCAACGGGCTTGCAACCCTCGGTGTCACGCCCGCACTGGGGACCTGCAACGGGCTTGCAACCCTCGGTGTCACGCCCGCACTGGGGACCTGCAACGGGCTTGCAACCCTCGGTGTCACGCCCGCACTGGGGACCTGCAACGGGCTTGCAACCCTCGGTGTCACGCCCGCACTGGGGACCTGCAACGGGCTTGCAACCCTCGGTGTCACGCCCGCACTGGGGACCTGCAACGGGCTTGCAACCCTCGGTGTCACGCCCGCACTGGGGACCTGCAACGGGCTTGCAACCCTCGGTGTCACGCCCGCACTGGGGACCTGCAACGGGCTTGCAACCCTCGGTGTCACGCCCGCACTGGGGACCTGCAACGGGCTTGCAACCCTCGGTGTCACGCCCGCACTGGGGACCTGCAACGGGCTTGCAACCCTCGGTGTCACGCCCGCACTGGGGACCTGCAACGGGCTTGCAACCCTCGGTGTCACGCCCGCACTGGGGACCTGCAACGGGCTTGCAACCCTCGGTGTCACGCCCGCACTGGGGACCTGCAACGGGCTTGCAACCCTCGGTGTCACGCCCGCACTGGGGACCTGCAACGGGCTTGCAACCCTCGGTGTCACGCCCGCACTGGGGACCTGCAACGGGCTTGCAACCCTCGGTGTCACGCCCGCACTGGGGACCTGCAACGGGCTTGCAACCCTCGGTGTCACGCCCGCACTGGGGACCTGCAACGGGCTTGCAACCCTCGGTGTCACGCCCGCACTGGGGACCTGCAACGGGCTTGCAACCCTCGGTGTCACGCCCGCACTGGGGACCTGCAACGGGCTTGCAACCCTCGGTGTCACGCCCGCACTGGGGACCTGCAACGGGCTTGCAACCCTCGGTGTCACGCCCGCACTGGGGACCTGCAACGGGCTTGCAACCCTCGGTGTCACGCCCGCACTGGGGACCTGCAACGGGCTTGCAACCCTCGGTGTCACGCCCGCACCGCGCTCAGCCAGTGAGCGGGAACTGGTCTCCACATGGGATCCAAACCCTGGGCGGGAGCGCCCGCGCACTCTCCAGTGCGCCACCAGGCCGGCCCTTTCCGTTGACTTTTAATTCTAATTCTCTATTCCCTATTCTTTTCTAAGTGTCAGTTCCCCTTTTGTAGGTTTTTAAACAAATGTAGCTTCCCTAATTTTCATTCTGCTTCCTCAAACTCTATTAAACTTAATATGAACAGCCAAAACAACCCATCTTAAAATAAACAAAAACCTTTCCAAATTGAAAATAAAACAACTGTTCTTCTTCCAGCCTTTGCAAGTTATGTTGGTGGCTACTCATTTGTCCCATCTAGAAACCCCTTAATTCTCTTTTTCTCTTTCCTCTCCCCTTCTATCCCATGCTGCATGTACACATTCAGTCTTCTCCTTAGTTTTACTTATTGTGTTTGTGAAAAGTCTCTTGAATCTCCTCTGTCCTTTTCAGCTTTACTTCAGTTCCCAGGAAACTTTGACCTATTCTAATGTGATACTCTTTTAACCTACCTCCCTATCTTTGTGCTCTTTTGCCTTCTGTTTTAACTTTATGTTGCTGCCAGGATTGTCGTAGTATTTTTTTCACATAGGGTCTGGATTATAAGCTGTCCAGATCCGGTATGGCTGCTCTAACATCATCAGGGACTCAGGTTCATTCTTTCTATTGCACCATCCTTAGCAAGAGGTTTCCTCTGTAAAGATGCATTATGGTCCATGATTGCTGCTGGTACTTTAGCTATCTTGTCTATTTTTGTTGAGAAGTGAGAAGTGCAGTAGTATAAGTCAGCCCCCTTTTAAGAGCCTTCTAGGAATTCCAGTCCTAGGAGTGAGGATTTTACCAGATGTCTTTTTTTTTTTTTTTTTTTTGGTCTTTTTTCATGTCTGGCAACGGATCGCAACCCTCAGTGTCGCGCCCGTACCGGACCGGGACCAGCAACGGGATCACAACCCTCGGTGTTGCGCCCGCACCTCGCTCAGCCAGTGAGCGGGAACCGGTCTGTATGTGGGATCTGAACCCTCGGCGGGAGCGTGCCGCCACGCTCCCAAGCGGCGCACTGTAGCAGTGCGCCACCGGGCCGGCCCTTACCAGATGTCTTAATGACTTCTCCTAATACCATTTGGCCATCCCTACCTGTTGGGAAGGTCTGGAAAATTCTTTTAGTGAGGACACTTACTTTTAGCAAAGTTCTGTTAATAAAAAGGGAGGATGGATTTTGGGTTAGGAAACCAGCAGTATCTGCCGTACCTGTGTTCCAGCTGCTAAGATGCTTTCATGGTTCCAACTTTCCATTCACTTTCATGTTTCCTGGCTTTTGCTCATGCTTTTCTATCTTGCATTCACTGTGTCCTTCCTTTTCTACCTGGTTACCCCCTACTTGTTCCAAAAGATAGAATTAAATGTAAACTGTTATGTTTAATTAAATATACTATTAGGTGAAGATATAGTTCTTTTCTCTGGGTTACATCACACACTTGAATAAATGAACAATTATAGCATACAAATTAGAAAAAAAGTAAAACAATTTTGACCTATAAACTAGCTATAATGCTTAATTTTCCTTCTTGTTTTCTTAATCAAGAAACATGACCTTTTGATATATACTCTATGCCTTAAATGTAATCTTTTAAAGGTTAATTGTGTCAAAGAAGATACATCAAGATACTGTGGAAAAGAAAAGGATTTGATGAAAGCATATTTATTCAGGTAAACTATTTTTTTGAGTGTGATGGACAAATTTAAAGCTATGCTCCCAGAATATTCAAGTATATAAAGTATCAGTAAGCCAGAATAAAGTTGTATGTAGTGGGGATCATATGAAGCTTAGCAGAAAGTCCAAATAATGGATTTGTTACCGAACCTCTCTGCACTTTAGCTTTCTAATTTATAAAATGAGGGGAATAATACATACCTCATAGGGTTGTTTTGAATATTAAGAGAGACTCTTATGTAAACTCTTACTACAAATGCCTGTTAAATAAGCGTTTAGCAAATGTAGTATTCTGAGTAGATATGTCAGGTCCATATTCAGGTGTGAAATAAATGTATTTTATTTTTGAGGGATCTGCCAATGTCCAGGTTACAGATTCTTCTGCACTTGGGTCTGCTAATCTGTCTGAGGATTCTTAAATCCTTTTCTTAAACCCTTGGGATTTGGCTTAGGAAGTGGGGAAAGATCCTGTTTCCTCAGGGATCTACTGTGGAGGACACTTCTTTCTCTCTCCTACTCATCTCCTTCCCAGCTCGATTTGGGGAATCTGTGTGTGTATGTTGGGGAGGTTGGTAGGAAGTCTTATTTGGACTTATGTTTTTTTCCAGTCTTTTTCCAGGGACGGAGCCTAAACTTTCAAAGTCAACATATTTATTGGGTGTATATTCAGTAGATATTTGAGAGTGTCTTATGAGCCAGCACTCTGGTATATACACAGGATGCAAGGTTAAGACACATTATCAAAGAACTTATAACCTATATTAACATCAAGTTCTAACATCAAAGAACTTATAACCTACTGTATTAAGCAGATATATTAGGTAACTTGGATTCTAGGGAAATATTTCTGTAACGTGTTTTTAAACTTTTTATAGGGGCAACATATTGCTCAGAGAATTCCCTACTGATGCCTTGTTTGATGTGAATGCCATCGTTGCTCATGTTCTCTTGTAAGTACAGGAGTTACCCATTCACTTATTTATTGTTACATATTTATTGATTTCACTTTATACAACCACAATCCATTAAAATATTTTAGGGTTTTAACATTACATATATAGGCACCAATTTCACACAAATGTTGGTCTGTCTTCTCACACTGAGGATCTAAAATTTATTTAATGGTAAAGGATACATGTAGATACTTTGTATAAAAGTAGATGACTCAACAAGACCACATGGTCACACAATTTCTTATGATTCTACTGGTGGAGTGAGGATTTCACCAGATGTCTTAGTCTGTTCGGGCTGCTATAACAAAATACCATAGACAGGGTTGCTTATAAATAATATAAGTTTATTTCTCACAGTCCTGGAGGCTGGGAAGTTCAAAGTTGAGGTGTCTGTAGATTTGGTGTCAGGCGAGAGCCCCTGGTTTATAGATGGTCATCTTTGCTCTGTCTCCTTGTGTGGTGGAAAGGGCGAGCTCTCTGGGGTCTCTTACGAAAGGGCACTAACCTCATTCACAAGAGCTCTGCCCTCAGGCCCTACTCATCTCCTAAAGGCCCCACTTCCTAATACTGTCACTTTGGGGAGTAGAATTTCAACATATGAATTTCGGGGGGACGTAAACATTCATACCGTAGCATCAGGTAAGAAGTTAATCTTTGCTATTCTCACTGGGATTTTTAAAGAACCAGGCTTCCTTCATAACCCAGCCTGATTTTTTTCCTGGAATTTATAGCTCTGTGTCTGCAAAGTAAGTACAGACAGAGTTCTTATGGTTCTAGTACATACTTGAGTGTTTACTGAGAGAGAGAGAGAATCTAAGTTTAAGTTCCCTGGCATGCAATCTTTAGCCTGGGATTTAGGTCTGTCTGTGGTCCATTCCTGCAATCTACCTGTGAATGAAGTCTGGGATTCTCTTTGGTGACAGAACTAGAAAATAATGATTTGTTAAGGACAGGAGTTTACATGGGCTTTTCCAATTTAACATTGTAAGCCTGTTATCCACAAAGATGTTTGCTGACATTGACTATCTTCTTTTCCGATTGGCTCCCCTCTTCCTTCTCCTTTCCTACCTAATTCTCACAAAAATTGGGGAAAATTAAATTACAGGAAATTTAAACTTATCAGTGAAAAGTTGTGGTTATCACTTTACAAATGGACACTTTCAAATGTTCCAGTCTTAATAGTATATTAACATAAAGTCTTTAGAAATTCCTGACAACCATGAGCCCTGAGGCCTGTAGACTATGAAGCCAACTATAATGAGTGAAAGATGGCCTTTTTCCAAAGAGCTATTGGGCTGCCTTGGAATCCCTTCCCTGGGACCAAGGAGGGGTGGCGATATTGATGGTGGAGATCATATGAAGCTTAGCAAAAAGTCCAAGTAATAGATATGATATTTGTTCTCAGAAAGCTCACTAGTCATGCTGTTTTTCCAATGGACACCTGATGACTATCATCGCCCCAGAAACGAGGGTGAAGAAACAGAGAAAGAAGATTCTTTGAGGGATAGGAGGGTACCAAGATTGTCTTTCCATAAAGTGTGAATCCAAGTTTGACACCAAATCCAGTGCTGAAGAACTAAGTTAAAGAACTGTACCAAATAGTATGCCATATCATATCTGTACCTTGCAAATTGCCCTGCGGAAGAAAAATGCCTTTCAATCTATCATCCTATTTTCGTGTGGGAAAACCATCAGTTTGAAATGCCCAGAGCCTGGTGAGCATATTCTTTCTCTCTCTGGTACTTTTTTGTAGTTGCATACTCTTCATAGAAATATGATTGAATTGTTGCTTGATATCTTTTTCCCATTTTTCTATTGTGTTTTAAATTTTATTCTTGATTTCTAGGCGCGCTCTTCATATAAAGGAAACACGATGTGCAGATTTTTTCCCTAAGTTTGTTATTTATCTTTTGAATTTCCCTATTCTGTAGTTTTAAAAATTATGTGATCAAATTTATCTTTTCTTTTTGACTTCTGGATTTTAAGTTGTACTATGGTCTCCCTTATGCCATTGTTATAAAGGAGTTCACTGATTTCAGTTGATAATTGATTTGTTTATTAGAGCATTTTTAAACTTACAGAATATTGTAAAATTTACAGAAAATTGAGCAGATAATAGAGACAATTCCCATATGTCTCTTTTCTCATCTGTACATGGTCTTCCCTATTATTAACATTTTGCATTAGTGTGGTACAGTTGTTATAATTGATGAACTAATATTGACACATTATTATTAACTAAAGTGCATAGTTTATATTGGAGTTCACTCTTCATGTTGTGCATTCTATAAATTTTGACAAATATCTAATGACACATTTCCAGTGCTGTATGATATCCTGTATCATACAGAATAGTTTCACTGCTTTAAAAATCTCCCGGGTTCCATCTATTCATCCTTCCCTCCTTTCCTCCCAAACCACTGATCTTTTTATTGTCTCTGTAGTTTTGCCTTTTCCAGAATGTGATACAGTTGGAATGATACAGCCTCTAGACTTTTCAGATTGGCTTCTTTTACTTAGCAATATGTATTTAAGGTTCTCTATGTCTTCTCATGGTTTGATAACCCATTTCTTTTTATCACTGGATAATATTCCATTGTATAGATGTACCAGAGTTTGTTTATCTATTTGCCATGAAGGACATCTTGGTTGCTTCCAAGTGTTGGCAGTTGTGAATAAAGCTGCTACAAACATTCATGTGTAGGGTTTTTTTTGTGGATGTAAGTTTTCAACTCATTTGGGTAAATCCCTAGGGGTGAAATATCTTGATCATGTTAGCTTTTTAAGAAACTGCCAAACTGTCTTCCAAAGTGGCTATACCATTTTGGGTTTCCACTGGCAACAAATTGGAGTTCCTCTTGCTCTACATCCTCACCAGCATTTGGTGTTGTCAATGTTCCATATTTTGGCTGTTGTAATAAGTGTGTAGTGGTTTCTCATTGTTACTTTAATTTACATTTTCCTGGTGACATAGGATGCGGAACATCTTTTCGTATACTTACTTGCTATCTGTACATCTTCTTTGGTGAGGCGTCAAGGACTTTGGCTCATTTTTTAATTGAGTTGTTTTATTATTGTCGAGTTTTAAGAGTTCTTTGTATATTTTGGATAACAGTCCTTTATCATATGTGTATTTTGCAAATATTTTCTTCCAGTCCGTGGCTTGTCTTCTTATTCTCTTAACTTTAGTTGTGTTTTAATGCTTTCTTCGTATATGCCTTTACACTTAAATTTATTACTGGGTATTTTATCTCTTTTGTTTCTGTTGTAAATGGGTACTTTTCTTCCATTATCTTCCATTATCTTATAACACACACACACACAGAGACATACACTGATATACTTTTATGTACTATATACATAGATAATATATAATAGTACATATTGTAATATGTAATATATAATATATTGATATTGTTTGAGATATAATATATACCTATGTTTAATATATACATGTATATGAACAATATTGATTTCTGTGCCTAATTTTGTGCCCTTTGACCTTATAGAATTTTTATTACTTAAAAAAAGACTGAAAAACAAACTAGTTTTTCCAGCTTGTTTTCACTTATTACACTTATTAAATGAAATGACATTAATCTAGTAATAGATCACAGTAAAAATATACTTATTATTAATAAGAGAACTTAATTATAATAAGAGAAATGACATTTCACTTAGTAATAAGGATATTATTAATAATAATGAGAAATGACAGTTCACTTAATAATAAAGATATTTTTACTGTGATCTATTACTAGATTAATATTAACTTTGTAATAGATTGCAGTAATAATATCCTTATTGTAGAATGCATGAGAAATATATAAAACTGTGACACCCCCCCCCGTAATTCTTCATAATTACATTATCCAGAGCTAAATAATTATTTCTTTATTTTTTGGTTTATATTCCGAAGTCATTTTTTTAAGACACTCATCTGCTATTAGGTATATACGTAAGAGCTATATGTATATATCATATATATGATGTGTATAGTCATATATAAATTCTTCTAAGTTTGCATTTTATTAGGCAAGCCCAAATTTACTGGCATTTCCTCTATTTACAAAAAAATTGACTGACGCACATATTAAAATATATTAATTGCAACTAACTTGTTAGTTATTTTTTACCCAAATCTACTACTTGGCCTGATAATCAAGGAAAAGAAATATTTGCAGGCAATGTTTGGACTGTCCTGAAAACACTTGTTCATGAACTGAAAACTTACATTTGAGAATATTTGTGTTGCTTTATTTGGCTTGCTTTTTAAAAATGTAACCCATGCTGTTATTTTATTTCCGAAAGCATTTGAATTTGTTTCTTATGTAGAATGTTTTGATTGAGTCTAGTTGTGGTAGATTGAATTACATCCCTGCAAAACTCACTGGAGCTTGAATTGTGTCCCCCAAGTTTTATGTGTTAGAAACTTAGCCCCCACTGTAACTGTTAAGAGGGTGGGAGATCCTATTATGGTAATTGAAAGGTGGAGCCTTGAAGAGGTGATTGGATTGTAGGACCACGCCATAGTGAATGGATTAAAAATGGCGGTCAGGGGCATGCTTCTGAGGGCTTTAAAAGAAGAGAGTCTGTCTCTCTCTCTCTCTGCTTCCACCGTCTTGCAATGTGAGACACCTGGGTCACTGTCACCACCACCAGATGGACTTTGGACTTCCCAGCCTCAGAAACTGTAAGCAATAAATTTCATTTTCTTATAAATTACCCAGTTCCGTGTATTTTGTTATAAGCAACATAAATGGACTAATACACCAGTGATCCACAATTATACTTGAACTTTCTTCGTCGCCAGAGAAGATCAAGGATTTAGATAATTTATTTCAGAGGATAGAAAAATGAAATTAGAGAAAAAATTAAGTTAGTAAAATCTGAGAGTAGCATAACACGTATAAACTTACAGTAACCTTTATACTGATTATTTAATAATTTTATATTTTGGACCATTATGACCAATTATGTAGCTTTTTTTGGTAGGA